TAAGCAGTGATTTGCACATAGCCAAATAGTTACATAAGGGAATTGGGGAGAGGATAAGAATAAGGGTTATGCTTTTATTAAAATAGGACAGATAATTTTTAAAATCACTACCATTTACTACCTCCTGATTCATCTTTACACTTGGATGGATTAGAGTTTTATACTTCCCCTCCTAACTTAGCTTTGAAATGTTTTCTTGGCATCCACTCAAAGGAACTGAGGAAAAAATGGTTCCAAACACCTACAATGTGGAATATAAAAATTAAAGAAGTCAAGCTACTTGCTTAAATTCTCTGTGAAAGTCACTTGCAAAGAACTGGCTATTTAATATATAGAGGTGACCTAATTAATGTGATCCTATGCCATGCCACACACTGATCTCATAGATCTGTTTTTCTAATGCTAACTTGTCAAACCAAGCAATCAATTCACAGACAGTAAGGACAAGGATAATGAAACAGGATGGGATGAAGAGAGTTTAGCATCTGAGTTCCACTTGTAATTTGGCTACCAATGCCCATGAGATTGTCATGACAGTGTGCCTCACTAGACCTCAAATTCACAAACCAAAGATCATTGAGAGTTACCAGGCAAGTGATAAGCCTTTAAATTTGAATGTGAGGAATACAAATACTCCCAGGTGTACCTAGCCTTATATATGAGGAAGTCACAAGAAACCTTCTTACTGGACATTGAGAATTATTTGGAGAATTAACGAAAAGTGCATCAGTTCTGCAATATAGAGCCATGCAAAATAATAATAAAGAAGATGACCAAATATATGTCCCTTTTCTTATGGTTAATGGATTTTTCTGGGGAAAAGCTTATTTCCCCCAGTAGGGGTGATCTCCACCAGTTTTCCCTCACTGCACTATCTCTCTTATTGAAAAAAGAGCAGAGAAACACACACCCTTGTTGCTTTGTGCTCAGATGTGTGCCCTTATCTTTCCATGAATGAGTTCCACAGGGACCAAGGGAGGTTTTAAGTGAAACCCAAAGCAGCTAATGTCTTGGTCCATACAATACTATGTCTGTCCCACTCACCATGGCTTTGAGGGCCCTTCTGGCTAGAGCATTCAGCAGGCTGCCTGGAACAGACGATACAAATGGAACTGTGTTGAACCCAAGTCTAATCTGCCCTTTCCAGCTCAGTGGCATGGGTCTAGTGACAATGTAGCTATGAACCTCAATTTCTTTATATGGCCAATGGGAATTATATATCCTTTACAAAGTTTATTGAGATAATTAAAGTGCACTGGGGTGACAAAGTACTTATATAGCTGCAAATGACAATATTTTTTTAAATGACAATATTACTTAACATGTGTTAGACTAGAGTACAATAGTGCTTACTTCCAAATAAATGAAATATCAGGGTTAATTATTGTGGAGGACATACGTATCATTTGAGCATACTTTAGTGTTCAGTACAACCCATGAACTGAGACAACATGAGCTCGATGTCCTGAGATAGTGAAGAACCAGTTATCACCAGAAGGTAGCTAGTGGCTGCACTTTTAAAGATAATATGTAACTAATACAAACTAATGTATGGCACGGAATGACTGGGCCTGGTAAGAGGCTACTTTCAAGACTAACTGGAGCTCTGGCTGAGCTTGGGAAATCCATTTGGCCTTTCTAAGATTTTTTTCCTCATGTGAATGCTTAGGATATGGATAGTGGATGCTATGGAAATCCAAATATAGGGATGCTGTGAAATTAAACAAGATGATGTATTCAAAACTTTCTTGCAGTTTGCCAAGCATCCTCCAAAATACCCCTTACAGATGTTAAGTCTTTAATTTTTTTCTCATCCATTGTTGTTCCCCACTTAAACCACCAGAGGTCAGAATTTCACATAAGTTGCTTAAAGAAGACTCCATGGTAGAGATGAAAATCAAAAAAGAACATTTCCTGCTAGGCAGTCTAAAACAAACATTTCAAGGACAGAAAGAAATATAATGAGGACTTTCAGCAAAGATGTCTAGAGTAACTAGAATGCTTAACTCCACAATTGTTACTGGGTGCACTTGATGAGCAGGCAAAAGAAAGAGAAACAAAATGTGTTAAATATACTAATAATATCTGTATAAGATTAATTTATGGTGATTATTTCATTTTAAAATAATAAGAAATACGTATGAGGAATGCCCACTTTTCAAATAAAGAAGCAGAAGCATAAGTGGCTCATTGAGAATCTAGTGCTCTTCCTCCATTAGGATGTGCTTCGGAAATGACCCTGAAAGTGTGTCTGTCTATTGAACAGCATATTCTATAACTGGATAGTATTATTGGCGTTTTATCTGCAAGTCTGAATAATTTATTTAGTTTCCACTCTCTCAAACGAATTTAGAGTTAAGTTCCTTTAATTGTCTGTTTCTCAGAGTATCTGGAAATTTCTGAGCAGAGTACTGCTCTGCTGGTAAACACAGAAATGAGATGATTAGCCATGGAGAAAAGCATGCATTGGTTTGATTGTAGGAGAAAAGATACTGGAGGAAAAAAACCCTATAATTTGGCTCTTTAAAATGTCTACTTGGCCATCAAAACTTTGTTTTCCTTCTGAGGAGCCCAGTATCCAGGTCTGCCTTCCTTGGAGTTGGGGAGGAGCTGTTGTAATTTTTACAAGGAATGAATGAGATGTAGTTTACATTCAAAAAAAGGTCCCATGTATTTCTTGTGCATCCAGCTCTAATACTCTGCCCAGAACAGAGAAAAGCTAGCAGTAACCATGCCCAGGTTGCTGTACTGTGAAGGCAGTTCTCAAAGATTCAGGTCAACTAGGAGCTCAGCCCCAGAGCTTGAATCCCAAACTTGCTACTTAGAGACGAGTCCTAAAATGGGTTCCTTATCTTAGCATCAAACTCAAGTCATTTGACATGGGGCCTGGACTTGGCAAGTGTTCGGTACCTTACAGAGTCATAGAATCTCTTTACTGAGATGGGAACTTAGCATGCTCTTGTTGCAAAGACCACATGCTGCAGAAGAGGAAACCGTATCCATATCTTTAAGCTGAGAAGTTCTGAAACACAGTGTTCCAAAGCACCTCTCTCAGTTTCTCCTTCAAGGTACACTCACATGTCCATGCTTCCATACTCACTTATGATCTGTTCACAGTTCTCCCTGGGCTCAGGAAGAGAGTTAAGCTTTGGCAGATTGAAACAGTACCTGAGTTTCTAGTGAGAAGACTCAAGCTTTGCACTAAAAGTGAAGAAATAACAGAAGAATACTCATTGACACCACTGGTTTTCAAAAAACACTGTATATAGATTGAAGTGATAAAATGAAATAACGTGGTTTATTTTTTAAAGGTAGATGTCTTGTTTTTCCTTATAAAGACTTACATTTTTTAAAAAAATGAATTCAGTGGTCCACAGGTAGACATGGGTGGCCCTGAACCTGCAATGCTCCTGCTTCAGTCCCCTGAATGCTGTGGTATCTGGCTGATTTTGTATGCAGCCTTTGAAAATGAAGAGTTGATGAGCGACTTTCTCAAGCTTCTCCTGCAGTCTTGCTCTTACCAATACAAATGCTGTCCCCATCTGTTCTAAAGAATCATGCCTGAGCCTCAACTCAAAACCTTCGCAGGAAACCTGTGCAAAACAATGTATCTCTTTATTGTTCATGACACTAATATATTATCTGGTGTTCTGCTGTGCCTAAAACAGGACCTAACAATGAATAGTCAATGCCCGTTAGTTGAATTGCCAGAGACATGTTTAGTGCTATGTTTAGGGTATTTAATTAAGAGTTTCTTGTGCGTTCTTAGTCTATTGTGAAAATTGTAACTTTTTCTTCAAGGGAAGAAATAACGGTGTTATTCTCAACTAGATTCCCTCTGTTGCACAGTTGAGGAAGGCTTCAATATTCAGTCTTCACGACACCACAGGGAAAACATAGTTATCTTGCATTCTGTGAAAAATCTAGTAATGAATTTAAGTAAATACTTTATTTCTAACCCAAACTTTCTTTTCTGAACATTTGCCCTGACATTATTCATTTATTCACCCAAGAAATTATTTGGAAGCCCCAAGGTCTCACTGTAACTCCTTGCATTTATTTTATGGTATCAAAGGTTAGAAGTTGGATTGCAATCTTAGGAGAAAATTAATTCACTGATTAAGAAAAATGCACGTTAAGCAATACATATTTAAATAACTGACAAGAATTGAGCTATGTTTCTTTTCTTTCTTTTTTTTTTAAAATCCCCCTTTTTTTATAGCTCAGTTTTTTAGCAGCTACCATTCTTCCACCAATAGCCCGGGGAAGCATCACATGAATTGCTAATAAGAGAGAAGCAAGCTGCAGTGAGTTCAGTGGCCACTTTCAGAACAAAAGGGTAAGAGCTGAAACCAGGAAAACAGATTTATTAAAAACAAAACAAAACAACAACAAAATCCCACTAGTGCTAGAAGCGTATTTGGACCTTGGACCGCGACCTTACTTGGGGGAAAAAATATTCTACCATTCTCCAGCTAAAGGCAGTTGACCTCGGAGATTCCACTTTCAAATAAAGAAATGCTCATTTATATATGACTTTTGGTCCTTCATTAAAACATAATCTTCCTCACTGGAACTCAGGAGCCCATTAATTACCAAAGATATACTTCAGAGTAAATTTTTATTTTTGACCTCCTTGTTATTTCTTGTTAGAATCAGTGTGAATGAGGAAAGGGAGGAAGGACAGCAGCCCTAGAGTAAATGTAAGTGCTCTAATCAAGGTGGTTATGAGTCTTCATCTCCTGTTGGAAGAGTTTCTCACAGCCATCAGTGATTGCTGTCAGATGCACATCCCAGGATTCCACCTTTCCCTACTTTCTCCTACCTACAACCAAGGGAAGCCTACAGTAAGTAATTAATAGTCCAGTGAATTCCAAGATAGACAGGAAGTCAGAGGAAACTAGGGAGGAGAGGGTGAGAAGTCCCATAGCAACTAGGGTGGATTGGAGGTGGGGAAAGAGATCATACATACTGTATGAAATTTGAGGTTTCCTCCTCACCTTTAGGTCCTGGTGAAATTGTGTGTGTGGCACAGACTTCTGCAGCAGGTCGGCTATCAATATCCAGACCCAGACTCTGAAACTGCAAGAGAAAGAGCAGCAGCAGGGTGAACTGGTTGCTTCCAAGCACGACTCTAAAGCCATTCATGACTTCGGTTCTTCAAAAGAGGGTCTCCAAGACATGCTAAGTAAACAGCATTCTTTTTAAGGAAAACCTGCTACAGAGAAAAAAAGGAAGGAACTGAAAAGTACATTCCAGAAAGGGCTGCGAAGACAAGCAGGAGGCATTCATTCCCTTGGTTGTTTATTTTCTCAGGATCCCAAATGGGCCATACAATGTCCAGACTGTTTCTTTTCAAGTGACAACAGTTTATTGAAAATTATCTCTAAACTAAACACTTGGATGTGCAGGTCACTGGAACCCGCCCCATGAGCTGAGAGAATAGAGATGATTGCCGTTTAGACCTCCCACTGGCTTCTTAGTTTGCCTTAAGCTTAAACACTGCATTCCAGGAGCGTGGAGGAGGTTGTGACCTGAGATTTCTGCACATTTTGCAAACACCCTGCGTGCCTTTGAGTTTTTCACAAAGTAATTCTCCTTATTGAATGTGGTAGTTGACCACAGATGCTCTCAATATTCCCTATGACATAGCTCGCTCTCTCTCTTGAGACCAAAAATTACCTTGGGAGTAAGCCCCAGATGAATGAATAACCAGATTTTCTGCAAATCAATCTGGTTATGAGTCTGGCTATTAAACATACTTATAACTTTAGGATTAGTAACTGCCCTTCTAGCACACCATCTCAAGGAAATAATGTGAAATGAAGACAGCTTTATTTGAAAAATGTGACAAAATGGGGGAAGACGATGGTTTGCCTATCCACATAGTAATAGTTGACAAATTTTGGTGAAATAGAAATGTATGAGTATGATGTTTGTCACAAGTTCTTTACTTAATTGGGGAGAAAGTGTCCAATTATATGTCTTAAAAGACAAGGTTTTTATATAGATTGTATGGATTTGATGTAGACATGACTGTAGGGATTGAGATCTCTGTATTTCTCTAGTATCTCTATTCTCATGCATCTGTCTACTGCTCTACAAACAGCCTAGACTTAACTATATATTTTTTGGAAATTTAGAATCAGTCATTAACATTGGACTCCTAATATTTTTTTTTTTAATTATCTCTCTGTCTCTATCACTGACTCTCTCACTGTGTGTGTGTGTGTGTGTGTGTGTGTGTGTGTGTGTGTGTGTGTGTGTGTGTGTGTCTGTGTGTGTGTCTGTGTGTGTGTATACATGTGTGTAGGTAAGGGTACATGCAAGGATGTGTGTGTGTGTTGAGGCCAGGGGTCAACATTAGGTGTCAATTGCTATCCACCGTATTTTTTAAGATGATGTCTCTCACTGTACCTACAACTTGCCAGTTTGGTTAGGGCAGCTGGCTGGTCAACCATCTCCTAGGATCCTCTTATCTCCGCTCCCTGAGCACTGGGATTACAGGTGTAGGCCACTGTGCCTGGCTTCTTTATATGGATATTGGGTATGAAAATCAGGTCACCATACTTTTATGGCAAGCATTTTGCCAACAGATTTATCTCCCCAGACCCTTATATTTTCATTATTAAATTATTATATTGCTAGATATACTATCTAGAGTTGAATGGAAGACATTTCCAATGCATTCTTCTTCAGTTTGGAAATGAAAGTCCTTACAAGTATGACTTAAGAGTTAGTTCTTCAGAAATCTCATTACAAATAACGGCCAATCTAAAAAAAAAAAAAAAAAAAAAAGCATACACGCTAACTTCTCAGTACTGGCATAACAAAGCACCTAAAATTGAGTACTTAAGCAACAGAAATTTGTACCAAAGTACTTCCTGGATGAGAGGGAACCATTCCTCTCAGTAGCAATAGATTTATGGAGTGAGTAAACTGTTTACAAAATACAGAGAAGAGGAAGGAAGGAAACGGACATTGATAGAAGCATCATTATAGACAAGAGATGATTGATCTCAATGTTACCTCGTTTTAGTCCCAGGTCCACCCTGTAGAACAGATAGCAAGCCACCCATTTTGCAGATAAAGCAGCTGACGCTCAGAAAGGCTAAGCCGTTTGTCTAAAGGCAAGCATTGAAGAAGCCAAAACACACAAGATCAAATGCAAATTATTTCCCCAAATCCTTGCTCTTAAAATACAATTTGGTTTCCACAAGGGTGGATGCTCTCAAGCTTTGAGGATGCATTGTTTGATTTTCAGTGGTTTAGGATGCCCAGAGTGGATGTAGTTATCAGGTTGACAGTGACAGGAACAGTGAGGACAACCACAGTGATACTAGAAGCCTCAAATTCCACATCTGTCACTTGCAGATACACAGCAGTGAAAAATGACTCCATTTCAATGGCCATGCAGCCCATAAAGTGAGCTTTGACTTTAAATCTAATGCTCTTTAGAAATTGATGCCCTTTAAATTATTTAGCCTAATCTGAATCTATTTCACTTCTTTCGTTTCTTTTCAAGGACTCCCAAGAACACAGTGAAAGTAGACTTGTTAAATTTATACATAGGGATGCTCTGGTTAGCAATCTGAAGGAAAGGCCAGGCTTAGTATCTTTCCTTGGCATAGTATATTTCTTACATCTTCAATCACCACCCTTTACTAAACAGTGCGCAAAGTACCTTTCTATATCTATCAATAGAATCTTACATCAAAATTTAAGTTGTTATGCATTACTCACATATTTTACATATAAAATTATATCTAACCATGTATTATATGGTATTGGTGGCCTTTTAGACCTTACTGATGTTATCAATATGAATAACACTGTAATGGGCGTCTTTTTCATCTCTGCAGCTAGTCTCTGTTCACTCTTTTTGACCCTTAAAGGAGGCAAATGCACGTGGCTTGTCAATTCATGGAATGTTACAAACCATAGATAAAAAGAAGCAAACAACTTAAGATGGTATCACTGCATATTCATCTCTCTTATGCCATTTGTTTTCAGATTTTGTTCTTCTTATTTTTTGGCTTGGAAACTATAGTCCTGCTTCTTTATCACTGGTAAACATGGGGGCTTATAGCTATGATATTCAAAAAGGACTTTCATATATTAGGGAGTATCAGAGATGTACGATACATGTACCATAAATCCCATCTTTTAGCTAAAAAGGCTGCCCTCACAAACTACTCCATGGCTTTAATTTGGAGGACTTGGAAACATATTATTCCTCTAAGTGAGTCTGGTAAGGAATTACCTTTGAGGTAAAAACAGTTAGGCCTTTTGGGTCAAAGAAATACCAGAATGGAGATTATAAACAAGAAGGTCTTAAATATGGATGAAAGTCTAGGACTGGTATTTCTTTGGGGTACACACAGGTACAGAGATTGTAGGTGAAAGTAGAACATTTAAGGAGAAGTTGCAGAATATAAATTCTGAGAGAGTTTCCATTCAGGTACTAGCATATACACAGAGAAGTAGCAACCTGTAATGCAAACCCAAAAGACAAGAAAGTTTAGACATATACCATCCACATCAACCAAGCCCTACAAGTGTGAGATGAAGGCTGAGCACAAGCTGTAGGATTTAGAAGTCAGTAATTTACAAAAATAATTTATGAATGTAATAGACCACTAAGTGGAATGATTTAGACGAAAGAAATGGCAGAGTAACATCCTAGGCCTGAGAAAGTCATTATCTAACACTAATGATGGTAGTAACAAAACTAATAAGAGGAACACTTATTATTATTGATTTTTTGTCACGTGCTTGGCACTGAGATTGCTTAATGAACAAATAATTTAATCTTTAATATCAATTTTTAAGGAAAGCAAATACACATACACACATATCACAAAACAAAAGAAAATCTGTAAGAAATGAGGTTTAGAACACAAATGAACAAAGGTGGATGGATGTCTTTGAATGGTTCCCAAGTCTCATTACCTTAATTACTTACTCTCACCACCTGGAAACCAAGGATTATTTCTTCTTATCAATGTTTAAATAAGAACACAGTTAAACCCAAGCACCACGACAAATGAGTCAATGAGTCAGCACTGATTTCTTAACAAGTTTGTTGATAAATGAAAAACAATAATACTAGAAAGTGTTGATAGGAATCCTCTTGTGACTCATTTAAGGCAGCAGGTTATGTACGTGGTACTAAAATTATGCAAAGGCTTATCCAAGCTCCTTGATGTTCCAATAAATATGGGATGACAGAGATTTTAAAACAGAACTTTGAAATTGTCAAATTATGTTAAACGTGTTTCCTTTAGTGTGCTAAAAATACCTCCTGCTGCTCAGGGAGACTTGGACTGGCATTTCTAAGACTTCACTTTCACTTACTCCCCAAACTGAAGCAACTGAGAAATTCAAGTCAACATTGGTTTTACTTTAGAACATTGTGTTGAAACAGAAAAGCCCAACAAGTTTATAGCTACAATCAAATTGGAAGATTGTTAAAGCTAGATTCCCAAAGAGAAGAATCTATGGTTGGCTTTCAAAACTGTCTCCAGAATTCAATATTTTCTTGGCTGCTTTCTTCTTCCAGTTTCCAGGACAATACATTTCAGTCTTAGCAGTGACCAAATATGACATGCCATTAAAATGAATAGCATATGACTTTTCTTTCCGTTATTCTCCTGCACATTTTGAATGGGTTGAGTGTGAGTGGCAGCCTCCTGTAGATGTATATCCATATCCTGACCCTGAATTTATGAATTGGACCTTAGCAGGCAGAAGTGTTTAGCAGATGTAATTAAGCAAGACGTTTTAAAATGAGATCATGGATTATCTGGGTTGGCCTTAAGTCCAATGGCAGGAGTCCCTGTAGGAGACACCCAAACAGAGTGACAAGGACAAGAGTAGAAACACATGTGAAGATAGAAGCAGGAGCTGGAGTTAGGCAACATAAGCTAAACAATAGCCTTGCATCTGCTAGAAGATGTAAAAGGCTGTGAAACAGTCTCCCCATGAGCTCAGAGTGAGCTCAGCCACGCTGACACCTTGAGCTTGGATCTTTGGCCTTAAGAAACATGAGATAATAAGTTCCTGTTGTTTTAGCCCAAGTTTGCGCTAATTTGTTACAGCAGTCCTAGGAATCTGAAATGCCATTCTTGTGATTTTTCGTGCACAGTTACTGGAAGAAATGACACATGAAAA